AAAATGAAGTAAAATACATACCAGTCGCTTACTGAAGCTTCGCTGACTCAACCACACCCAGGGCAAACAAACAAAAGGCCCCTCAGGTGCTCAACCAAGGCTAATCAACCTAGAGCTTCTTGCTCTCTACTCTCTCTCTGAACACCATGTGAACACTTAGGCTCTCTACTGCCCTCTGACACACTCCATGCACAAAGTAGACATCATCACATCCCAGAGTGAAAAATATTAAAAGAAAAACATGAAAAATAAACAGCATAAAGCACATAACCCAACAAGTAGCTAACAAGTATAAAATAGGTACATAGTGATAGTAACAGGTTTTCAACGCAGCCGAAGCAGCTATTATCAGCCATAAGAAACGGGTAGTTATTTAATGATAGTTTCACATCTCTGAGCACTTGAAATCATATTTTATTTATCTTTTTGATGAGCAACTGACTTTTATCCCAGTTGGTGATATTAAATATCAACAATTTTCTTTAAGATCCAATACTGAGTAAAGCACAGGAAAATCAAGTTTAGAGATAATTCAGACTTGAAGAATTAATTCAGTCTCACCTCTCATCCAATCCCCCTCTGATGATCCACTCCTGCATGAATATCAGCTCTTTGCACACCTCCGCCATGGACAATCATCATCAATAGCTCCACTTTAAAATAACTGTGTTCCATTGACGGCATCTCTGCTCCATCAAGCTTGAACCCTACCTCCACCATCATCCTTGCTTTTATCTGGCTCCCTTCTTCCTTTGGCATCATTTCCACCATTACCTATCCTAAATCATCATTCTCTCCATGATTACGTCTTGTACTCATGTCATTTAAAACTCTCTTGTTACATGTCTTCACCAGTGTTGCCAACTCTTCAGTAAGGAAAGTAGCTATTGGCTGTGCTAGAAGTCGCTGAATGATGTCATTTTTCTTTTTAACCCTGTGGTCCACTAAGGAGCTTAAAAATCATGGTAAAACATGAACATTTTGAACCATAACATTTTTTACATTACATTAACATTAACAATCTAAATGGAACAATAAAAGTCTACAAAGAATCAATGACAATGTGAGCCAATAATGGTAATTATTGTTATTTTTTTAACCTAATAAGATTCCCCTCCCCACACACAGGCTGTGCTTGCCTGCTCACAGAAACAGTGGGTCATCGTCATGTTGGTCAAGCCTCTCTATGGCAGCTTTAGCAACTGAGGGAGCTGATTCCAGCGCGATCAACCTACGCCGTCAATCCCAGTGCATGTGCGCGGTGCATTTGCAGTCTGAATGCTGAGGGTAAAGATGCTGTGGCTCTGACTGCAGCGCTGAGAGGGTCTCCTGCGGAAGTTGGACAACTGGTTTGGGACGGGGGAGGCGCCCCCCGGCAGACACCAGAAAAGTCGCTAGATTTGTCACTAGTCGCTTTTTTGAAAAAGAGTCGCTAGAGGGGTCTGAAAAGTCGCTAAATATAGTGAAAAAGTCGCTGAGTTGGCAACACTGGTCTTCTCTATGAGTCTTTCAAGATTCAAATGTTTAACGTTGCTTTTTTATAACAGCAACTGCAACATTGGTTTGTTTAAAATTATGAAAAATATCTACTCAAAGAAGTAAGTGCCTCAATCATTTCGCATGTATGTATACCAAATCTTAAGACTGGTTGTAAACAGCAATTGATATTTTATAGATAATTTTATGCTAACTAGTCCGTGTAATTTACTTTAATTTATTAATTTCTTAGAGAAACTTTCCACCATGCCTCTTCCCTACAAAAGATGACTTGTGTTTTACAGGTATTACTCCAAGGTGAAGCTGCACAGCCTCTTGTTCAAGCATGCATTTGTTCCTTTGTTACTTATTTCATAATCATGTTTTTTACTTATAGAAACGACTATTTGTAATTATTCATAATTGCAACAGTGCTCAGCCCTTAAGGCTCCATATGTTCACCTTCTGTACTTGGACAGTACATGCCTGCAGCATGGAAAAACCCCAGAGACATTTCTGTTTCAAAGGCAGCCGCACCTGACACTGAGCTTTTTAATGACATTCCTAGTCAATCATACGACATGTCATGATCTTTTTCCCACCTCTATATAGAGCACTATATGAGTATCTGATTGTCTAGTAGATAAAAATGTACTGAACTTCAACAGGAGGAACAGGAGTTACGTGACAGCTCTTAAAGCTCCATATGTTCGCCTTCGGTACTTGGATAGCACCTGCCTGCAGCATGGAAAAACGCTGTGCAGGGAGAAGGAGTTACGTGACCAACAGGGGGCAAAAAGTAATGTTCATCTGTCGAACGGTCAGTTAGCTGAGTTCACTATAAAGTCTGCTAGGGAAAAAGATAGTCGATTAAGAGGTTAAGGCGAAAGTTCAGACACAGTCCTCCTCTGCAGTTTCTCTTTGCTGGATTCTCTTCATTTCCTCCTGAACCCTGGTGTTCCACCTCGTTTGGTTTCCCAGATTTCTGGATTTATGTTTCTGTTTTCACCACTAATTGATAAATGTGCAAAAAACCACCTCAGCCTCTGACTCTGCTTTTGGGTCTTCTTCAATCCTCCACTCTTCTTGACAGGACTTATGTAATGAACAAAAAATCATAACGAATTGCATGACAAGACCTAATGTATCACATAAGAAACAAATAACTTATCAGATTTACCTGATGTCTTTCTCTGACAATTATTTTATGGTTTATGCATAGAGCAGTCCTGTCCATGACCATTATGAACAGGTTTTTGATGTCAAGGTTCATTTACAAGATGTTTCGAGTATATTTTTCATCGGTTAGGTTGATATGAAAATAACTTATTTTTTTGTTAAGGTCTCTAAGAAACCAAAACTCAACTCTTGAAGTTTGCGGCTGAGCTCATTGATTTTGGTAGTGGAAACAAAAACAATCATGTGTTTATAGAAACCTCTGGTTTCATGGTAACCGGTTTGCATTGGCAAAAGAGAGATATATGATTACCTGTGACGGTTACGTGCACAGATTTTCTAAATTCTTCCTTAGAATTGCAAGTGGATCTGCCTGTTCTGCTGGTAAATGCAATGAGGAAAATACTAAACAAAACATCTGTGCCTTTATTTTTAAAACACAAAGACACCTGCATTTTGCTGGATTTTTGATTTTTTTTCCCTTTGATTTTACTGCGATGCAATGCCAGAATGTTTACTTTTAAATACTTCAAAAGGTAAAGTATTAATACATGAGCGCTGAGCAAATCCTATGTGTTCTAGTTGTGGATTTGAACGTTACACACTAGTAGCCATTCAAAATTTTCCCACTTTCCTTGGTGGGCCCATTGCTGGTCCTTGGCTGGTCCCCTACAATCTTTGTACCAAAATATTCTGTCATAATTTGTGGACATTGGGATTTATAGAGATGCGTTATCTCCTGGTCAGACCCTGTAATCGAGTGAAATGGTGAAGTCAGAGTAAAAAAATATGCACACCCAGGAGAAGGCCAGTGGCTGGAAGTTGGATGGGGTTTTGCTGCCATTCGACTGGCTTTTGACTGGGAAGGGCCATTTTGAATGGCTGCTACTTTATCACTGTAAACAAGTTCAGCTATGATGTTTTGTATGGAAAGGAGAATATAAAATCCTGCAGTAAGCAATG